GTTCTTTCACGTAGTTGAGCAATTATTTAACTAATAATCAACATTTAACGGCGAATATTAAAATTAGATCTTTTGAAAGAGACACAGTGTTCTTGCTTCTAGCATTAACAAGGCTTGTTCGTTCAGCACTTTTTCCCCTTGTTATCATGTGACAGGCTATTTTTAATATTTGCCAGAATATATTTTGCATCTTCCTTTGATCCAGAAAGCAGCGTGCGAGGCTTGCCTGGATATTGCCTTCCCCTCGCAGCGCGCAGAGCTGCGCTTTTCCACTTGACTGCAATTTCGGCACCGGCTGGTAATGGCAGGAGCACGCAGCCACGCACGCGTGCCTGCTGCTCTAGCAAAAGCCGTGCTGAGCAGGCTGCACAGGGGACTGCCACGTGCCCAGAGCACATGGTGGTGCAGGCAGCAGCCATTCAGAGCCTCACGTGAGAGGCAATGTGAAGAGCAGCTCTGGTACAGCCTGCCAGGCGGTTTAGCTGGTCATTCCCTTGTTATCACGTGGGACACCAAAGGTGGGGAAGCACCCAGCTCCTCTCGGTGCTGGCTGCAGGTAGAAGCCCTCACCTTTAAGGAACGGGGCTCACGCAACCCTGAACTGCTTGTAAACGGCGATTAGAGCTCAGGAGAGGGTTCCGCAGACGAGCTGGCTGCCGGGAATGCTGCCCTTCACACTACAAAGGCTGTGCTGGAAGAGGAGGTCATGTTAAGAAACACAGGGGAAGGAAGACTACAATAAAGGGAGTGTTGCACACACCCTTCTGTGGGCTGCCCCCTTCACCAAGTCATTCCCAGTATGCAGCCGAGTGGCCGGATGGAGCAAGAGCAAACCATCCCCGTCGGCATACGCCTATCACAAACCAGTTAAAAAAATACCAAAACCCACCCAATCCTGCCTGGTGTCAGTCGTTACGATTCAGTATACATGCAAGAAGTAAAAGATAATGTGCTCTAGATGAGATCTCTCTGCTGAGTACGTACAATAGAGCATTTAATAAATCTTCGTGTTCTTCCAAGAGGGGGCTGAGGGGAGCACACTTCAAACAGAAGTGTTCAGCTTTTTGATGAATGCACCTCTGAATCTTATTTTGTCACTGAAAGTGAAGACTTCTAGATATCTCACATCTGTGTTTCTGCAACAGATTACAAAGCTTGTTTTTTTTCCCGTTAATCTTTGGCAGATCCTTTGCAAGTAGTCTAAGGCACCAGCAATCCAGGCACTGCAGAGTGAAAACGACTGTCACAGGAATGCAAAGACAGGAGTTTTTTTTCCTAAGCTTCCCATGGCCCTATCCTCCATAAGGAGCAGGACTGTGACAACACAGGGGATATCACTGTGTCAGCAGTATCCCCCTCTGACATAGCCCTGTTGCCAAGGCTTTTGCTGCAAACAGAAAATTCACATCTAAATCTCGAAGAACAGAAATCCTCTAATTAGAGTCTTCCACCAGACTTAACTAATGCTTCTGAACTCTCACTCACTCCACGCGAACCCTTCATGCTGCCATCCCGTTCACCCAAATAAGGGTTACCCATAGAAAAAAGCCAGGTAATAGCAACCAGCACCTAACTTCAAAACATGATACTCCCTTTATATACAAACGGCTATGAATACTTCCAATTTCATTAAATGACACCACAGCGATTTACATTCGACCCCCCCCAAAAAAAAAAAAACAGCAAAAGATCTGCAACAGATGGAGAAACAAGAAAACGTTTGCAGTAACAGGTAACTTAAAAAGCTGGTTTTAAAATAACTGTTTTACTGAGAAAGACTAATTTGCAACCAACTAGTCAGCACCCACTACAGGGAGAAATAATGTTGCAGATACATCTATGTTACAACGAATGACGGTCTGCAACACTAAAATTAATAAATAGCATTTTGATTTAAAGTGATACTGTGAAAAAGAAATACTTAAATACTTTAGATTCCAGTTTTGAAAAAAAAAACAAAAAACAAAAAACACCACCACAGAACTTTATCCTGCATCCCTTCTCTCCACAAAGACCAGTTTTTGCATAGATTGCCCAAACAGAAATTTACAAGAAAGCGGGTGCTTACTTTGTTATTTGCTATAGTTCACATAACAAACTGGTGAGACTACACATTTTTCTAATAACCAGACAATGCAAGCTGGAAATAAGGAACTCAAATTTATAAGGAACCATTTGTTGTTGTTTTGGGTTTTATTAGTTTTCCACTATTACAAGATCCACAAGGATCTTGTAATATTATGTTTAGAGCCATGGTCAGTCCAGCTTTGCTGAGCCTGACCCCAGTTCTCACTGAAAGGCAATGCAAATTCTCAGATCTCTTCCAGAGGTGGTATAAAACACACATCTAGGTGACACCACTGGTTTCTAAAGACAGGTAAGGCTTGCCCTTCAACATGTGCACAAAATTAAATCATCTTATGTCACTTCTGTGTAGACCTCTGTCTGAGATACACCACGCACGCATGGGAGACATGTTTGGTATCCACACTCATGTACACGTCCTTCCCTGTACGCAGCCTATGCAAGTCTCAGATTTTTGGCCAGCTACATGTGATATACTGATGTTAAATTCTGTGGAGTCATTTCAAGTAGGGATGCGAGAAGCACAACATTTGACTCTTGCTTCAGCCCGAGTCCACATCATATACTCAAACAGGCCATCAAAAAATTAAGATAAAGATCAGTGGAGACAAAACATTTTAAGAACTAGTATCACCTAGAAAATTCAGTCTTCCTAAAAATAATACAATCACGTGGAATTAATTTTTATTGAAATTGTGTACTTCATACTATTTGTCTTGAGTTTATTACAATAATACAAATCACAACAGCCACATATATTGAAACAGTAACTCACACCAATTAAAAAACCTTACTTCATGACAGTTTTAAAAGAGTCTTTAAAGGTCTTATAGGATTTATTAACCAAAAGGCTCCACTATAATAATTTTAACATTTAGCTCCAGACTGACTTTAATATTTCAAAGCAGCACATTTGCCTCAGCACTTTTATGACGACTTTAAATGATCATTTTTATTTTCACTAGAAATGTTTTTAATACTGTGTATTTTAAAGATCGCTCAAATGCTAAAATGCACGATGATCCCTACAAAAGAAGAATGTCAGATTTTTATGACAGCACAAAAAAATCCATTAATCTGACAATAAACCAGACTACTGTTAATTAAGTCATAGTACCTATCTGTAACAGGGGAAAAAAACTTAAGAAATGGAATGGAGCTCACCCTCCTTTCAAAAAAAAAAAAAAAAAAAAAAAAAAAAAAAAAAAGAGTATAATCCAAACCTATTATTCTTAGGACAAGGTGGCATAGAGAAAAAAAATTCCTTCAGACTAAGGTGCTTTATCCTACCCCAAGAGACCCAACTCCTTTTACAGCCAGACATAAGCATACAGTTTTAGTGAGAAAAGTTTGTAACCCCCAGCTGTACACAGCTCAGGGAAAAACCCAAAAATCAATGAAATGACAGCAAGTCATGCAGGCAGCTGATTACAAATAAATTCTGACAGGTGATCATTAAAAGCCTGGCACAAAACCAGCCTCCCTTAAAAAAAGAATGAGGACGGATTATCTGCTTTTAATTTTGTGTGCAGAAGTGACAGAAAATGGGGTAGCATACCCGCACTATTTATAAGAACTGGCTTGGGAAAATCAGGGTAGGTTTTTTTTTTTTTTTTTTTTTTAAATATTCCACTCTTGCCAACTCCAAATATATTTCAACTTTGTGAACCCTTATGAGTTACTGGTTAACTATGAAATGCCTTGAAATTGAAATACAAAAAGTAAAATCCACAAAATGTGAGTAAATGAAATCCACGACTAAACACACATCTGACGTGGGGCCAAGGAGTCTGTTGACAGGTTTGGGGGGTTTTGCGGGGTATTTTATTTCTTTTTAATGAGAAAGGAATGTTGTAGATTTTAAGACTTTTCCACTTCATCCTGCTCCACAACTTTTGTCCTTCTATTTATTTATTTTGCCTCCTTATCAGATGATTCTGACAATGACTTCGCACACTGAGCATGGCAAGCGATCAAGCAGAAGAGAGAGGAGTGGTTTCCTGCTCCCAAGAGCACACTTTGCTCTAGCAAACCTTGTGTGAGCAGAAGAGCACAATAACTCACCCTTACACTTTTTTATTTTTTTAATAAAAAAAGCAAAGCTCCATGTTTTCCAAACTCATGCTAACAAAACTCCCCAAACCACGATCTCAGCCATGCTGGTGTCAAGCCATAGCAGTTATTCTAGATTTGTGCTTGCTTCTCAAGGGATGATTTAAAGTGTTAACAAACAAATAGAACACTTCCACTGATACCAAACGGGTTTGAAACACGCATTATGATCAGAACTTGACTCCATGATGCCTTATTTTCCCATAGCTTAAGGTAACTGTAGAGGTAATTTATCTATAGTGGTCAGAGTTACATTTAAGTTTATTCTGCACTACCTAAGATTATAATGCAGTTAAAAACGTAGTTCCTGCCCCACATACTGTGGCAAATTTTACTGTGTCCAGTACAGAATAAGGTTGCAGCCAAAATTCCAAACAGGAAGCACCGTCTTTAAATTTCATCTTCAAAATAATTACTCACGCTAAGTCTCCTATGCTCTTGCATCAAATACTAGTCAAGAAAAGGAACGCTCACTTTCATGGTCCTCCCTGTTTATTTAACACCACGGCATTTACGCATTACTATTCTGCTTGTGTTATTTTTTGCTTGCCAACAGCTAGGCTACCAATGAAGAAAAGGTGACAGGAGTTTCCTTGGAATTCCTGCAGCTTCCTGACATAATTTAACCAAAAATCCCTGTGGAGCAACTTAACAGTATCTAGAGTGGGGCTTTTTTTTGCATGCAAATGAACCATATTGGCCCTCTCTAAACTGCCTGCCAACTGTACAGTGAGAAGTAATGATTTACAGTGGGGAGAAAGGCTCACGCCAAAATCCATAGGAAGGTCTTAGGGCTGATTTACCTGGTCTGACCGGGCTCTGCATGCAGTTCTGCGACACCATGCCTGGATGGACTGAAGTAGAAGCCCTGCTGCTGAGGTCCATGACAGAAGGTGATGCTGAGGTAGCTTGCTGGAGACCTGGCTGGTGTGGGCTATGCTCGTGCTGGTTTGGGCTGGGTGGAATGCCATTTTCTGAGAGGAATTCTTCCAGGTCCATGTATTCCAACTGGAAAGTGTCTCCGTCATATGGCAGTGTCTTGTCCCATAATGTTGGGCCCAAGAAAGCTGACTGAGGGACTGTGGTACTGGTGCTGTCATCATCTAATTTCTTCTCTTTGTCTTTTTCTTTACCAAATGCTTAAACAAAACACATAATAAATATATAAGAGCTGAGTAATTGAAATATCACTGCTTCTACTTATTTTCCCTGCACTCTCAGGAAACATAGAAAAGGAATACCTGCTTTACAAAAATAACTCCCTTGATTCCCTCTGGTTAGAAGAGAAGTCACATCAACTGAGCACCTCTGCAGGATCCAACCTTCCCCCTGCTTTTAGTTAACAATTCCACTGCGTGCATGGATTTGAACGTCAGCTTCAATAAATACTAATGGACTTAAAAGCAAGCATTTGAGCTAAAACAAGCTGGAAGATATTGCTATATTCTGCTGAAAAGGAATTGTCTTGACCTCAACTTCAGGTATTTATTATCTTGTCACACTTGAAAAAAAATAATTAAGGTCCTAGCCTTGCTAGTCCTTACACAAGCAAAGTAGCCGTCAAATTAAATGTGTTTTGCTTGCTTTGCCTGCCTCATACTATGCAGTAAATTATAAAATAATGTATTATTCAGATAAATTATGGTGATGTTAATCTTACTAATGTTTTAACATCACTATATTAAGCCTGACAGCCTTTTTTTTTAAAGCCTGACAGAAGAGGGATTCTGACATGCAGAGAAAAATTCAAGGGTAGCACGAAAGCATAAATAAAAGTTAAAATCCCGTTTCCTACCTATTCCCACAACACCCAGTGATTCCAACAAACGGTTTTAAGGGAAACTGGGGATTTCTCCCAAATATTTGCAAGGTTTTAAACAGCTAAAGCCTCCTGCCCCCCGCTGTGCCTCAGGCACCCCCCGGACCGCCGCCTGCAGCCCCGGGCAGCCCTCACAGGGGCTCGGCGAGCAGCACGGGGCCTCGGGCCCTCACCACGAGCGGCCCGTTACCTCACCGCCGGGGGGGGCAGCACAAAATGAGGATAAACCCGGCGATATCGGGGCGGGGGCCGCCATTTCGGGGCGGGGGGGAAGGGAGGGGGGTCGGGGCTGCCGGGGGAAGCCTCACCGTCATCGTGAGCGAGCGGCAGCTTGAGCGGGTTTTCCAGCAGGGACTTGAGCACCCCGTAGGTGGGAGGCAGGAACGGGGGCGTCAGCGGGAGCGGCCGCGACATGGTGGGCTCTGCCTCGGGGCGGCGGCGGAGGCTCCTTCCCCTTCGGCTGGCGGAGCGGCTGCTGGACGGGAGCGGGGAGGGGGGGAGCCGGGCAGGGCAGGGCAGGGCAGAGCCGAGCCTGGCCGGGCCTCGGGGTGCCTGCAGGCCGCCGGAGCAGGGGAGCGGGAGAGGCGCCTCCGCCGCGCAGCGCCCTCCCTGCCGCCCTCCTGCCGCCCGCCCGCCGCCCGCTCTGCGCCGCGCGCCCCGGCCGCGCGCCCATGTGCAGGCGCTGCCGCCGCTGACGTCAGGCGCGCCGCGGCCTCGCCATTGGTGCGGGGGGACGGGCGGGAGGCCACGCCCCGCTTCAATGGACCCGCCCCCTCCCTGGTGGTCCCTCCCCCTTGGTATGGCCACGCCCCCTCTCCGTGGCCACGCCCCTTGGTGGGTGTAGCCCCTCCCCTTCCCACAGCGGCACGCGGCGGGCGGGCGGGGCGGTTGCCATGGTAACGGTTTCGCGGCCTCCCAACGGCCGGCCCCGCGCGGCGCTGAGGGGAGCGGCGGCGGCACCCCCGTTAGGGCAGCCCCCGGCCGCAGACCTGGTCCGTCAGCTCGGGCCTCCGCGGCCTCCCTGCAGGGATATTAGACCCCCAGCCTCCCACCGGAGGCCCCACAGAGCTCCCTCGCCGGCAGCAGGGGAGGAAAATGGTGTTGGCCCGCAGCCGGGGTGGGCACCGGCTGTGGAGGAGCTTTCCACATGACACAGAGAGCGAGAACGGGGTGACAGCACAGCAATGTGTGTGGTACCTGGGCAGGAAAACGAGCAGGGGGTTATTAAGTGATTGTACACATACCGGCGGTGCCCCAGATGGCCAAATTGCTGGTTACTGAGAACCTCTAATTACAAAAGTACAGCGCGAGGGATGTAAAGAGAGCAACGATTGGCAAGGCGTGTGGAGACACGGTGCACAATGCTTTTTTGTGCAGTAGAAAGAAAAAAATAGGTTTAGGAGATTTGGTAGGCAACAAAGAAGAGTAAACAGAAATAGAAGACGTAAAGGTAATAGGGATATTGGGTAATGCCAGTAACAAGCAAGATTAGCTAGGGATGTAATGAAAGCTCAGCTTGGGCAGAATTACTGAAGTTTTTACGGCTATCAATGTAACTGACATTTCAGAAAAAATATATCCAAACTAGCAGCATTTTCAATGAAATCGAATGACATGAAAACCGTACTGTTTACCACTTGGCACTGAACAGGATAAACTATGTTTAGATCTGCGCAGGCACAGAACAACAAGAAGCAACAAGACATGCTGAGGACCAAACACAATTACAGACCGTGCAGGAGCTGGGAATTTCCTGGCTGAGGAAGCTGTAACAACACTTTCCAATACATGGACCAGCCAGAAAAACTGAGAAAAGTACCCAAGTACTGGCGGTGCTGGAACTGTGCTCTTCAATTTCGCACTGCAACAGGAGCAGCGATTTAACTCCAGTCTTGCCACACAGGCAGGTTTCGTTCCAACCAGCCTCAATTCACAGGACTCCAAGCAGACTGTGGGCAGGTACCTGCCCGTTGGTGACTGATGGCTGCACCTTCTTGAGGGGCCCACTGCTCATTTGTGCTATTTTGGCCCCTGGCCGACCCCTCGCACCACACCCCGGGTCAGGCCAACACAACCCTGACCCAGCTAACTGCACGCTAACTGGACTTCTACATTTTCCAACCTGCTAAAAGTACAGTTTGGTGTATTCTTAGTGCTCGCGCAGAGCAAGTTTATGGCTTGTGAAGGACCGTGACTGCCATTTAGTTTTGTATAGAAGGCACCTTGACTGGTCACCAACTGGAAAACCAAAAACCCTCAGCCAAGGCTTATGATCGTGCCCTTGGTGTTTCCATCACAGAAACGTGATAGGATGCATGGTGCGAAGATTGAATTTTTCGAACTGCATACATGTAAGTTAATATATCGCTTTCAGAGTTTTTTTTTAATTTAATTTATTCTGTAGCAGAGAAAATTTGAAGAGACCACTAAAGCTGCCAACACTGCCACATGGGGGGCGTCCTTCCACCTCCACACCAGGACCCGATACCAGTGCCTCAGGCACTCAAGCAGGGCTGGGGGGCACACAGGGACCTCAGCGGCAGCGCAGCAGCTGATGCAGGCTTTGTTTTTTGTGTGTTTTTTGCTTTTTTTTCCGTATTTTTCCTCAGCAGGGAGTCCCACAAACGGGCACGTGCGGTGCCGCCTCCCCACAGCCCTGCCCTCAGCGGCCGCCCCCCTCACGCGGCGGTGCGGGAGGGGGGGGGAGCGGAGGGAGGGGGCCGTTAGGCGCGCGAGGCCGTCACGTGAGCGCGCGGCCTGACCTACTTTGGGCCAATGGCGGGGCGCGGCGAGCCTGGAACCGCCGCAACGGCCGCGCCCCGCCCCGCCCCCTGCCTCGCGCCTCGCCTCAGCTCACCTCGCGCGGCCCCGGCCCCTGAGGCGGCGGCGCGGGCACGCGCACGGCCCCTGGGGGGGGGGTCCCGGCCCCGCCGCCTGCTGCCTCCTCCTGAGGGAAAGGCCGCCGAGGCACGGGGAGGAGGTGCACGGAGGAGTGGGAAAGCCTCAATATTCAGCCTCCTTGAGCTCTGATGTGCCCTAAACCAGCGAAACAGCCCCGTGAGCGGCTGGTGCGTTGCTCAGGTTCACAAAAAGCCCCACGCCTGGCTGCCCGCACAGCCACCAAGGCTGAAAAACAGCAGCCTCTGCAGGGAGCAAAGCCTGCCCTGCGCTCCCGGCAGCAGCTCCAGGGCTCTGGAAGGGGCCCCTGCTTGGCTGCCCCTGCCAAGGCCCTCCCCAGTCCCTACAGCCCCCAGTCCTTCAACGCTTCCACCGCCATTTGCTGCCCACGTGGCGTGCAGCAGAGCGAGCCCCAGGCGCACCTCGCACAAAGAAGAACCGTGATCTGCCCCCACCTTTTTCAGATTTTTTTTTTTTTTTGAAGACTTAATTGAATGTAGGAGAGACAGGTTTGGAACTGCTTTTGGGTGATGGCAGAGGAACTTCTCTTAAGTAATCTGAGGTGGTTCCAAAAGACATTCCAGTTCTCAGAAAAATAAGAATTACTAGTTGCTGCTTATGTGCTGTGAGTTGAAAGATTAATAATTTTCTCTGCCAACATTTACAGTCAGCCCTTACCATGACAGTAGATCAAATACATGTACGTGCCTGGGCAGCTGACCTGGTTTGAACCCAGCAAACGCTACTTTCAATGATGACTGCATTTTTGGAACAAATACTTTGTTATGCTTTTTAAAGCAACCGTAACCTTGTAAAGCATTAACCAGCCTCTCAAGCCTGTTTCAAGCGCCTGCTGCCTTGGGGGATTATTTAGACCCGGTAGGTGTAACTAACCGGTTAAATGAGATGACAGAGCTGGACAAAGACAAGCGATAAGGAAGTAGCTGGCCAGTTTTGCAGTCGGACATTTCTCTGAATAAGGATAACTCCCAGCTGGTGCCAATGGGAGAAACAACTCGATCCTTCCATTTATTCCTCTGCGCTCCATTCCTATTCCTTTCTCACTTTTGGCTTGCATGCAGCAGGAAGACAGTTAGAAATAGCTGTTCTTACATGCTCAGGCTGTTTGATTTTGGAAGTTGGCGCTGGTTTTACTGGAGATGGAAGAGCACCCACGAGCAGAGAATAAAACAGGCAGAGCTGGAAAAGGAGGAAGGAGTGAAAGGTACAGGAGCTGAGCATCTCCCTACTTATTCACAGTTTCTATTGAAGCCAGTGACCCAGATTTCTCTGACTTCAAATGGCTGTTTTCAGTGAGCTTGCCAGAGGCATGGTGCTGGGGAAGGTCAGGCAGAATTTAGCCAGAAGTATTCTGCATGCATAGGCTTATCGGATCTGGATCTGTAAAACTTGATACCAAACACCCTGTACCAGACCAGTACCCCCTGGGGTCCAGTCCTGCAAGGCCCCTGCCCTAAGCCTGAGATTCCTGTTTGTCCTGTACTTGTGCACTCAGTTCACTCCTGGGTTTCCCCTTTTCAAAAAAAAAAAAAAAAATTGCAGAGAACCCAAACCAGTTTTAATCCCATGGTATTACTAAGACCCCAGAAATACAGTAAACCTTGTTTCTTTGGCAGGGAAGCCTGATCTGCAGGACTTTTCCCAGTTTTCCAACTGGCAACAATCAAGCTTGCAGACAAAAGCATTAAGTCATGATATGTCTCATTAGGAAAGATTATTTTATTTTTTTTTAAACATGCTCCCACTTTCAGTTACATGCAGCAATGGAAAAGGTTCTCAATATCAATGTCAGGCTGCAGCACCCTTCCTTAAAATTTATCCTCATGTCTTTTCTTATGAACCATTTTATTTTTTAAATCCCTTACTGGAGATTTCAGTTGGAAACTGAGTTTAGTTGTTATCTCAGTATCAGAATATACACATCAAATATGTTTAATAGCAGCATAGCAGGTTCCTGTATTTTTGGAAACCTACTTTGCAAATGCCATAATGCAGAGATGAACAATGAACACCATTTTAAGATGAAAATGTACCCTGGATCCTGTGCATGTATCACCATACTTTATTTGACAGAGCAATTCTGATTAGATCACTAAAGATTACAGTTTAAAAGGGCTTGAAAAAAAAGAGTATTAGTAACTTGGATTTTTTAAATGTATTTCCAAACATAGAATCGGTTTTACTGATACTCGCTGAGCATCCAATATCTGTGTTTCAGTCATATGCTTCAGTGTTTATCAAAAGAAGAGGAGGTATTTTCCCATAATCAGTTGTTGGCTCTGCCTCAGCAGCATCCAGGGCTGCTGCTTGCTGTGACGCAGGATGGAGCAGCAGCACACCAGGAATCGTGCTGAGTGCAAGGAGCAGATGCCGGGCACCACGAGTCCTTCTACCTCTCCCTTCGGCTACAGTCAGCAGCCCCCTGCAGAAGTCCTGCTGCCCATACATTCTTTTAGAAGAGTGGATGAATTACTCGCATCTCCCTTAAGGGCAGATGTGAATGGAAAAGAAGTACAGTAAAAGAGATGCATAGTAGTTGCCATTTCAAACATGTTCAGCTTTGGTAAATTGTTTCCATGCATTTTAGTGAAACGTGTAAGTTAAATAAAAGCAAGGGTAGCTGACAGCTGCATCATATAAACCGTAAATACCCATACAGACACAAGAAGCCATAGAAAGAGTGCTTGCTTGTTTCTTTATTCTGCCTTTTTTTTTTTTTTTTTTTTTTTTAAGACTTGTGTTTTCTTTTAAAATTATCTGCCCTGATCTGCAGAAATGTAGATGCATAATTGACTATATTTGGACTAAAGATGTTCTTGCTTGTATGTTTTCCTGGTCAGGCACTTAGACTATACGCTATACTGAAAGCCTCAGGCAGAAACCTATCCTGACATATCCATCAGACATAACTAGTGTCATATTAAAACAGTTCTCTATTAATTTTTTCCCCATTCACTTTTTAATCCTTTAAAAAAGGAATCTTTAAACTAATTAATTGCCTTGCAGAGTAAGTTGTTCATGAAGGCTCACAATTAGCATTTTCATAGGCAGTGGTGTTTATTTATTTTTTAATGCCAAAAGGCAGAAGCATACTTACAGCCATCTGACAGCACACATGCAAGGAAATAAAGATGTCCTCCTGTATTTTCCCTTAAATGGCTTATGACCTGGAGAATACATTATTTTGATTGGCATAAGAAAGAAGGCTGTGATCTTATTTTTACTGTTTGCTATAGTTGTTTCAAACTTATCAAAGGAAGAAATAGAGGCTTTTTAGATGGCTGCTTGCCAGCATCACTAATCAGAATTTTAATGAGATTTTTTTCTTTTTGAGTCCTAAATTAGGTCTAATTAACGGTATATAAAGCAAATATACAATGCCATAAAGGGGATGCAGCCGGCTGTCTCTTACATAGGATGTGTTTCAACCTCTTCACAAATAGAATTGTTTAGCAAAATACACATTTTCATGCTGCTTAAGTATATGCAGGTTTTTCTTTACTGTTATGCATTAATTAACAAATTGCCTTTAGAAAATAAGGCCCTATACTTTCATAACAACGTTGAAATCTTTGAAGGGGGGTAACGCGAGTGCTTATGGCTGAAGCTGTCTCTGATTGCCACTCACTTTGACTTTGACAGACTCCTGAAAGCTGCTGTCCAACACATGCTGCAGTCACAATGACAGGGTAAGCTGTTCCCTTTTACTTCCCTTAAGTACTCCATTTGCCATCATCACATCTTTGGATAGACCATGTGTTCCTATTGTTTGTGGGGTGGATAACTAGCCTGCAGCTCCCATTTCCCAACCATCACAAAAGGCACAGTTATATTTAGGCTACACACAGTTTTCTTCTGAGCATTTAGGACAGAAAATGATTAACTACAAAACGTCATCCTCAAAACACAGCATTGTTTCTTCCCCGGCAAAGTATATATTGCGCAAAGAAAGAGGAATAAACCAAAATGACATTTCTCTTTCCCCCTTGCAAGATTTTCTTGGTACTTACGGTTCCCTCCTGGGCTGACTTATCTGAAACATACAAAACATTTTTAAAAAGGGAAGCATCTTTAATTAGAGTTGCTCGTGCTGCTTAATGCAATTAAACACCTATAAGTATGGAATTACAACATCTGCTTAAACAGAGCATTTTATTCACAAACCGAGACCATTAACCAGGAAGTCTCTTGCAAAGCCTTTTTCCAAATTTCATGTTTAGTAAACAAATCTCATTTCTTTATCCCTGTTAAGTCCATATCACTTCTGATTCATTTGGCTTGTGAAACTAAAGATGATTAGCAGCAGTAACAATGGGGGTAAAAAAAACAACAAACCAAAAAAAAACACAAACAAAAACAACACCACCACAAACACACTAGAGCACAGTGGAATAGAATTAAAAAAACCCAAGCAGTCTCCCTTACTCAAACTCCAAGTCACCAACTCAAGAGGTATTGGGCTGAAGTGCTCAGAGCACTTTAGCAGAAGAACATTTCAAGGGCTGCTCTGGACCAGGTCTGTCTGGAAAGCCACAGGTTGAGCTTATGGTAGTTGGCAGTATCTGTAGTTAATAAGGATAGTCTGTCAAGTGCCCATTGTCTTTGAACTAACATCAGACACATTCTAAGTAAGCTTAAATAGCCGTTTCAAACATGTATTTCTTGAAGTGTGTAAATAAATATATTCACAGCAATTTTAAGGAAGCAGCCAAACCACAGGACAGAGCGAGCCAGAATCATTTTGCATCTGTTACAACACTCAGGATAATGTTTTGGTTGATTTATAGTGGAAATATTTGTTTTTCAGCTGGAATTCTGGTAACTCAGAACAGATGTTCAGAGCAATGCTGGAATACTGTCTACCCATCCTTCGCTGTTGAATCAAATGCTGTTACACATTTAAACTAACCAAGGTTAGGGTAACCTGAAATCTAATACACTGTGAAGTTACTAATCTTAGGAGAGGTACATAGTAAGGGAGATGCTGATGGAATCCAAAACAATTATTTTTCCATTTTATTAGAATCACAGGGCATACAATGATGCATGCAGAAAATTAATAGATCTATTAGATTTTATCTGGTTTGTGAGTGGGGATGGAAGAGAAGTGCTTGTCTATCAATTTAATATTTTTTCAAACCTTTGTAGTGTTGAACAAACACATCTTCCTGACTTTTTTCCACCCTCACTGAGCTAGGAAATGTTTCTTAAGGAGAGAGAGGCAGATTCTCATAATGAGGAAGTTATTTATTTCTTCCAAAGAATTGTCTAGTTGTCTTTCAAATCATTAATAATTCAGCATATTATTAAAACTCCTATTCATATTACCTGAAGACCTCTGACTACAGAACAGACACAAGTATAGCCCTCTCTTGCCCACTGGAGTTACTCACATCCCTCAGCACTTTGTCAGAGAAGGAGAGGGAGGCTGTGTCCCTGCTCATTAAGCTAGGTGGGTAGGCAACATGATCTGAAACCAACTGACATCTCTGCATTTGCTTCAGTGACACTAAGCTCAGAAGCGAACAGCATTTCTCCCGTTTTGCCTTTTTTTCCATCCCCCCCCTTTTTTTTTTTTGTTTGTTTTTTTCTTCTTCCCCCTCCTGTGGAGGCCAGGCAAATAGCATCCAAAACTATTCACTGATGCAAATTCCAGATTGTCAGTGGAGTTGTGCCTGATGCCTTTACCTTACGTCGGCTGTTGTTTCTTCTAGGAACTTTCAGCTTCTCTGCTACAACATTCTTGCTTCCCAGGAAAGAGCCACATAAGCTGGCATGCAGCTATTTAATGGCTATCCCATTTGCAGCTACATTTCTTTCCAGGTGGCATCACTATATTCCTAACAGCTGAAAGCATTAACGATGTCAGAGAGGGTTCAGCTACTCAGTTCTGTGTGGAGCAAATGCTTTGAATTGCAGTTACTGCATTAAGCTCTTGAAGATGTACATGGAGAGGCTCCTGTATTGATCTGATGCACAGCCAGCAACACCTGATTATGCCCAGCCCAGGGAGGGCTGCGTGCTGCCAGGGGTATGGTGCCTGGTGCTCAGCCCCAAGTGCTTCCAGCAGAGAACAGGAGAGGCAGAGCACGCCCAGCACAGCTTTTCTTGGGCCGAAGTTGTTTTACACCTTGGCCTCCTCTGAACCATGGCTGTGTGCATTAGCATTTGGAACAAATGGAATCTCAGCACAAGCCTGCTGTGCAAGTGCAGTACAAATGCAGATTTTACTAGGATGTATTCTCTGCAAGCAAGTTAGAATTTGTAGCGGTGACATGAGTCACCTCTGTAGATACCATGGATACAGGGTTTCACCCGGTAACTCCATTAGGTACACTCCGTACACTCAGCTTGTCACAACACTTTGTGCTGGCACCTGTAGGACCCGGTGTTGCCTGTTCTGCTTCTTCAGACTCTTCTTCCCTTGTCCTGGCCAGAACCAAAGCCAAAGGGCACTTGAGATGTCTCCATGGCCGCAAAGCCTCCATGTAACAGCAGCAAAAATCCCACTGGTGCAAGCTTCTAGTCAAGCTTTTTAGAATATTTCTGTATTTTGCTCAGACATCCAACACCATTATTTTTTTCTTGGTCATTATCTAACTGACTTGCCAACTGTTATATTATGTGAGTTCTTCCTTGGAAAAGCTGTCCCTTCTGTAAGCAGTGCCATATTGTCTCATTATTTGAAATTTACTTGAGCAGTAGGCTTTAGACCTGGGCATCCATGGGCTCTCAGTGCTATCTGCATCCTGTGCCCTGGTCATAGGTTTAAGAAATGGGGTCATCCTTGGTCTGCTTATAGTCCGTTACACTGGGGTTTCAACCTTAGAGACTAGGAAACAAAACTGTCTGTAAGTGAGAAAGACTTTTGGAAACCAGAATGGAAGCAAAGCCCAGATTTTTCATATCAGGTGACAGGGCCAGAGCATCAAATTACAGTCAAGGAAGAATGGATCTTGACCTGCAGGAATGAGGCTGCCACTGAGGAATGCAGGTGATAATTTTGAAAGGACACTAGATCCAGAAAGCTTGTGTGGGAACTCGCACAAGTGCATTTAGGAGGTACTAGGCACTTACGGAGGGGGATGCAGAGCAGTAACATACACCTGCTATGGCTTTCCCTAGAGCTACAGGGCCCATCAAGAAGGAGATCCTAACAGGGTGGGTAGAAGCATGCCACAGCTCTGAAAGGTGCAGGAAGATCTCGAGAGTAACGTGTAGCCCAGGTGAATACTTACAGGAGTTAGCTATATAATTTCATTTATAAATAAGGTAACGAGCTCTGTTGTGACACGGACAGATTGCAAGCTGGACACATCAGCCGGGTACACGTTTCTAGCAACGAGCTCTGCAGCAGTACATTATATTTGCCTGCACCTCACACAAGCACCCTCTTGTTGCTCTCTCAAGCCCTGTTAATGCGTGGTTCAGAGGCTGGGAGATGGCAGCTGCTTAGCACCTGAGCTGGTATTGATCTTGGATGCTACAGGTTGCTGCACTTTGCTAGCACAGACAAATTGTCTGATAACTGCTCCTTGCAGGAAACCTGATCCAAGAGGTCTGCCAGGGCAAGAGGGTTCAATCCTGCCAGGCATCGAACACTTCTCCAGGGCTGAGCCATCCTCAGCCCATCAGAGGGAGGTGGAAGCACTCCCTAGGCTGTGTGTCAGACGGCTTGAACAGGAAATCTGTGCAGGATGCTGCCCGTAAGAAAGCACTGATTGCTTGGGGTTACTGGTAGGTAAGCACGGTTTACTTATGAGTTGCACCAAGGTCCTCTGGAAGCCAGTCAAAAGCAAGATTATGGTAAGATTAGTAGCTCATAAGTAATCTCTGCTGAAACAGTTCACTCTCACTGGGCTGTTGAAGTTTCTCTGGTACCGTACCTCACTGCCACGCAGACTGGTTTTTAAAATCAAAGACATCTGTGGAAACACTGTGTTTCTGCCATACATGTCAGAAAAGGATCCGTCTTTTCTGAAAAGGTAATGCTGGCTTTATTATAAATATGAACTTTCCTGTCCTCTAAAGTTGCTTGTAAATTTTAATAGGAAGTAAAATACGCATGAGTTTCTGGGCTAGGATTTTGTAGCTCTAACACACGTTGCAGTTACAAATGCAAAACTTTGCACTTTTGGTTCATTCAGAGAGCACATATTTCAGCACTCAGAGACAGCCTTATGACTGGGAATCAGCACAGACAGCACCAATGAGAATCTACAAATCAACTGCCGAAAAAAAAGATAATTTTAAGCTTTCCATTTTTATGCTAGGTAACAGGAGGTGTGATTTTTTTCCCAATATTTGGAGGAGTTCCTCTCAAAATTACAAAATGCTGTCTGATTTCTCTTGTCTCCAGGCGGTGGGTGCTGCAGGGCAGGAGCTGTTGGGCCCTGGCAGGAGAACGTGGCACCGAGCTCCATGTGGCCCCCAACAGCCCAGCCCTGTTGGCCCTGCACACCCAGAGCTGGGGCCTCCCCGAGGTCTCTTCGCTTTCATTCAGGCGTGGGGTTTCTTTCTGCTCCAATAGCTGCCATTCCCTGCTGCACACAGAGATGTCAGCCAGGTTTCCTACAGCAGGATTTTGCTCTGCTGAAAGTTTTCCATGTTTCCCTGTCCCTTGGCTTTTTGGGCCCTGTCTTACAGCTGCTCATGTGGCTGCATAAAGATCAGAACAGCCTGGTGCCAAGTGAACCCGCAGTGGTGTGCTCACATGGTTATTCAAGAGGCAAGCTTTTGCCTGAACGCTGGGATCATACCAAACTAATCAGGTTTAGTGACTTCATGTGCCTTGCTGTTTGCACAATGAGGGCAACGTTTCCTTGCCTCACACTGCAGAGGAACTGGGGTGTCCTCACGAGTCCTGGCCTTGCTGTGAATGCAGCAGAGGCTACCCTGGAGACCCTGAGCCACTGCCGGGGTGGCCCCAGGGGCAGCCTGCCAGCAGCCATCATCTTCTCTGCACCCTGAATCACGCACAAACATCTGGACAGGGGGAGCCTACTTGTGACCTGGATTCAAGAGGCTTCACTGTTAATCCCCCCTCCCTCCCAAAATTGCATGAACTGGGGCTATCATGGCTGAGGTTCTTATCCAGAATCCGCATGTAGATTAAAAAAAAAAAGTCTTGACAGAGAAACTTGCAAGAAAATATGTTAGGCAGCAGTCACTAGTGGTAATTACCATGCTTTCATCTGTAGCTGTCATTGCACTGTAAAAAGTGGCTGTTATTCTCATTTTAGAGAAGAAACAGATGTTCTAGGGAATTCTGAATAGATTAATACAGAAGTTGCATGCCTAAAAGGTCTTCTAGAAAATCCCATCATTACCACACGGCTGATTTTGTTCAGTGCACCCAGGAGTTCTGTAGATTTGCTGCTCGTGCTTTGCTTTGCTTCTCTTCTGATTTGCCTTAAAGCAATAGTTTTAGTTTGGAGTTTTCATTTTACTCTCATTCTGGGGGAGAGGAAAAGCTGAAATGATACCAGCTATCAGCACTTTCTTTTCAAGGCAAACTTTCAGGTAGGGATTTGTTTGAAAGTTCTTGAGGTTTAATTTGGTTTTGTGATCAAGAGACACAGAAGTCGCATTTGTGCAATCCAATTAGGCTCCAGCCCTGGCAGGGACATGGCATAATGCACGTACATCCAGCTGACTCGCTGTCCTTCCCTGCTCTCAAAACCTTCGGCCTTCATGGCAGAGCCGAGCTTCTTATCACAGATACTTGGGATTACCGCAGACTCAATTTTCCTGTTCGGGAGGTGCCAGAGATGCAGTTTTTCCCTTGAAAACATGGTAGGTGACAGGGAAAATTGAGAGCTGCAGATAGATGTTGCATTGGTATCAGTACCGTGAATAACTACTAAAGGCAGTCAGTACTGAAAGTGTCCAGGAGGCTGGGCAGTGCTCTCGGTGTTAATAAGGAATTAGAAGCATTTCTGTGGTATCTCTGCTCACCTCTACTCATTTAACGCTCCCACCCAGAATCAGAACCTGTCACTACCTATGCTTTTTTTTGGAATGAGCACTCTCCACTACGATAAGCTGAAAGGTGTTAGAGCAAGGAGGAATGTACCTGGTAATGTTCCTCTCCAGGAACCAGACCTCATGTGCTGTGGGTTCAAGGATGAGATGCCCTGACCACAGGGCTGCATCCCACAGTCTGCACTCCCAGCTGCACCCAGTGCCCCAACTTGCCATTCCAATTTGGCTGTAGCAGCCACAATTTCTCCATACTTGGAGAGCGGCCATTTCTCCCAGCCACAGCAGAAACCACACAGCTAATTACCCTGCTGTGCTGCTCACCTCTGTGCAAAGTATTGTCCCTCACCTGGGGGAGTCCTCTTGTAGAACCCTCCTGTGCTGTGGCAAAACTTCATTCCTGCAGGCTAAGCAGTTTTCTTGTAAGAGGGAAACTATATTTTCTGAACATGCTGAAGTTAGAGGCCTTTTCCCTTACTTCCCTGACACTGTATTCACTTGTGAGTAGGTTAATTTGTGTATAGGTGACAGTCAGGACAAGCAATGATAACAAACCTTGACTGAAATAAACGCCAGAGCTTTGTAGCAAAATCTCTGAGCACAGCAGTGAAACAGGCTTTTCCGTTATCTTCAGCCAGCCACGGGACTTCCCACTTGGTGTGCATTTACTGCTGATTTTTGTTTTCTTATATCATTTACTGCAGGGACCTAAATAGTTATTGGAACAAGGTAGCCTATATTACTATGCTACTTTTGTGCTGCTTCAGCATATAAAATCAAAACTAGTTAAGCACAAACATATTTTTGAGAACTTAGCTTGAAGTGACTACACATGAACAAGATGAGATTAATTGCATCTACACATTTGCCTTTAACAAGATGATTCCTTTTAGCTGCATCTTCCAAATAGCCAACAACACGACAGTCATTCTTTAACACAGCAGGTGTCCTATTTCCTGTTTCTCTGCATCTTTATCATTTACAACACTCCTGTAGTTAATGTGGAGGAACAGTATGTTCTGAGAGTGACAGGCAGCTTTCTTAATGGGCTCGTCAGCTCCTCTTCATGCCATGACATCAATTATGTACACTTGTCTTTGACTTGGAATTTGTAACCCCCACGGTGACTAATTACAGTACCTAACGTTAGGGTCCCTGGTGACACAGACTAGAGATTAATAAATGCAGTTCAGCCTACTGCTCGGGGACCAAAAACTTCACTGTCCCTTGAGAGCTCAGGGCTCTGGGTTTTCTGAGGCTATTGGGGTTGGAAAGGAACGGTGACACAGACTCTTTGGAATAAAAATGAAATCATTAGAAGGAACCACAGTGCTTTGCCTTTCCAGACATCCTTTCTCTTTCTCATATCAGTGCTATTATTGTTGTATTTTTATTTTAGGCCACAAATATCATTTTATTTCTTTTTCCATTTTAATCATGTTTTAATGAGTTCTCTTCCGATACAAGAACAAGGAATGTTCTTAATGATAATAATAATTGGGCCACAGGGAAATATTAACTGCTTAATAGCTAAAGAGCAGAGTACTTTAAAAGAGATTAAGGCATTTCTGATCGGTTTGTGACTTCTGGAGGTCAGGGTGAAATCATGACTTACCCAAACTGTGGCAAAACTGATGATTTTTTATGGTTTACATTTACCCAAGAGGTCTAGCTATCATAATGACATTCTCCATAATGGTATCAGCTACCAATTTTGCATTAGTTCACCTCATCTGTTATTGAGGCAATGTAAAAGGGACATGTCTCTTGAAAAGAGGTCTCCTAAATCAGAGACATTGTATTAATTGCAGCTTACCTGCCCAAAGGTGTTTCTTGTCTCAGCTGTGATGCTGCTGGGACAGGCTGGCTGGAGGCTCTATGGGTCTGCAGCAGTTACAGAGACCACCAGCTCCTGCAGTACTCTGACCCTGCAAACTCTGGGCAGGAAAATGAACAAAAGCTTGGATACTGGTAGAAGAAAACACTCCTCACAACTCTGATTCAAACCTTTCCCTTCAAAGACAACAGTATTTCCTGTTTTGTACAGCTGCATTTTCCAGGTAACGACAGGCTTCTGCTTCTGTGACTTTCTTGAGAAGCTGGATTCCTCCTCGCTGAGCCCAGTGAGCCTTTCCCTTTTGACATGATCACCCTGCAACTTCCCTTCGTTTGCAGCCCCCAGTGAATAGTAAGTCATCATATAGTTGCAGTTCAATACTGTAATGTCCTTTATAATTTGAAGGGAGAACACAGTTTATGTATGGTTTGGAAAAGGTGCTGAACTAAATTCTTCCTTGTCTTCAAATAACAAAGAAATCCAGCCTAAACCCATTTTCTTCATGAATTATAGATTTTTTTTTCCCATTAAGAATTCCTGTACATAAGGCCACGAAAAAAAACTAACTGTAGAGCAGTTTCTGCAGTGAAGCTGCTGTAACTACAAACCAGATCACCGTCCTTTCTGTCATGCTGAGAACAGCCGAACATAAAAGACATATATGCCCTACTTCAAGAAAATATGCTCAGAGAGGAGTTAACCCTGTACATATTTACTCTCAGATAATCCTGGAAGCTGTAAATAGAGATCTTTATCAGAAACAGAAGACCAGAGATGGCCTTGTGGCTTCAGGGACAAAATCTGCAGGGAATGTGCAAACCTCCCAGAATAATCCCAAGAAGGAGTAACTGTGAGCGGGAGAGGAAAATCAGTATTAGTTATTAGATTTCAACTTCCCATCCTAATATTTGGAAACAACAGGCTCTATTTGTAACCGGTTTGGGCCCATTCCATATTTTTTCAACCATATGACTTAATATGGAGTAATACACACCTTGCATCTTTCTGGGAAGAGAGTTCAACACTTCTACCTCGTAGTAAAATAATTTATCTCAAAAGAATGTTGCAAGAGTATCAAACTATTAGATCTGTGGCAAAATCAGCTACTGCCTGGAATAAGCAACAAATAATCAAGCCACCAAAAATGTGAAAAGGATCTGGATGGCACAGCCTGCGAGACAGCTAGTATTTTTAGTATTACATGAAAACAATCCCCAGAGAAAGGCAAAGCTGGTTACAGAGGACAAAGGGCAGGCTTTCTTCATTAGTATTTGATTTTTGGTGCACTATCATTGCAGGCAGTAAGGGGAAAGATTTACTAAGGTATTTAGGTACCTAAACATGACTAGCAGCATTTATAGCAGCATCTAAGTAGGTTAGGTGCCTAATTCCTATTAACTCCATCAACATCTTTAAGCTGCTGACATCTTTGCAAAGCTGGCCCCAGAGCTGGAGCAGCCAGGTGCCTCTGTTTAGACTGATGGGGCTGTGCTTGCTCACGGCTGCTGCAGCCCCAGAGGATGTCTCTTGGAGCAGGGTGCTGCAGACAACACACAAGGGCTGGGAGCACAGAAGGGAGCAAAGACTGCTGAGCTGACTTGAAGGTTTGCTACGGACTTAAGCTAGAACTCTGCAAAAGTCACTCTGACCAGTATTTGCAAAAAGGGCACCGAATTCCATTGTTAGATTGGGAACCAGCATTAAGGTTGCTGGGTAGCTCTCAGGGAGTTTCTTGAGCAGAACATTAAGAACCCCATCAGTTCCAAGAAAAGCCACTTCTACAGGCTATGCCACAACAGAATGTGCAGGTACAGGAAAGCCTTTCCCTCCAGTCAGTCCTTTACCACCTCGCCTATTCCCACAACCACAAACGTTTTTCTTAAAAGGATTTCCCTTGCCTTCAGGTTATACCTGCAGACACCCTAGCCCTTAGTCGTGGGAGGTGCCAATGAGGCCATGCTACAGGGAGTGTCCACGAAGCAAATATGTGCTGAAATAAACCAGCTAATTGCAAGGATCAGTAGCAGATAGGAAGTTTTATTAGGGAAACAGGAATTGCCCCTGTTACATTGTTTCTCATTTTAGTGTAATTTCTTATTCCTTCATTTACAATGGAGGCCAAAGATGCTGATGGATTTACAGATCTGGTACTACTGGCTTCCGCTCCTTAAACTACAACCAGGTAGAGTGTAAGTAAATTATGTGGGGCTCCACAGAGACCTGCACAGAAATTGTAGCAAGCTAGATCTGCTTTTCCAGCTTCCTTTAAAAATTGTTCTTAAAAATATGAGAAAATTTATGTTAAAGCAGAAAAAGTGAGATTTGTCCTCTCTGTCCTTTACTGACTTGTGGTTCTGTCCCATTACATGCCTACAACAGTTCCAGAAAATACACAAGAGCAGATTCAATAGCTTGCATAGCCTGAATAGTAGGTGATGAAGTGACTGGTATTGCTTAACCACATAGGAAGCAAGTACTTTCTATCACCGAAATCTTTACTTTGAAATACACAAGAGATTTCCACCAGCAGAAATATTTTTAAATACAAAGAGGAAAGGTAATCTGCATCATTTATAGTTTTAAAGTGTATGATATTAAGCAGGGGGCTCTCTAGACAAAGCCTGAGTAGGATCACCCTTTGAGAGAAACTACTTGAGAACTGAAACTGAAATTCTCTGTGCAGTCTAGCACCACAGCAAACCCACATGAATCCTGAAGGCTCCAAATAAAATCAGTGTCAGAAGAGATTTAGTGCTGTAAGGTTGTGTCCAAATAAACATAGGTGATGGCCCTTACCATGTATCAAATGTCTGTGCACAAACAGCAACTGCTTTTGTTTTTCTGATTGATCATAAAACAATCTATAGAGGCTACATGTATTTGCTTACATAATATCTGTATCTTTTCTGTAGACTTTACTGTAGAAAACTACAGTGCAGCCATTACTCTAACCTGCTTGTAAAACACCAGTGGCTTAGGACAGGTTAGGCAGTGTGGCTGTGCACCAGCCAGCACACGTGCCTGAAAATGTATGCAATGCCCATGGAATAGCCAGCTCATGTATGTGTGTGTGTGTGTGTATTTATCTGGTTCGTCTGTTGAAAGGATCATTGAATTTAGTGAGACACTGAGTAGTGTTCCAAGGAAATTATTTAGCATCTATGAGTTTGAGTATCTAATATGTCTATGTAGGCATTTGTGTTATGCTACTTGCTTTGATGACAGTGAATGTGCCAGTTTAAGTTTACTGGAGTATTTGCAGTATTTGAAGGGCAGTGGGTGCAAGTATTCAGGTAAAGATTAATACCAGCGTGTACAAGAACAGTATTTTTCGGTGTCATCTTTACATGAAAAATAAATGGAGGTACAGGAATTATTTATGGCCCAATTGCCACTCCCTTCTAAAGCTGTAATTTCATTATTTTAGATGTTACAAAGTACACTTCCGTTTTTTTTCCACATATTTTTTTTTATTCTGCAATAAAAATGAAAAGTTATTGTTTACAGTGTTGCATATTTTGACAACCGCTCTTTACAAACTCTTTTTAAATTATCCTAGAACCATTTTCTCAATATACGCAGTTCCCCTTAATAAAAATAATTTCACAAAATATTTCACAGAAAGGAAGAGACAACGGGAGATAGAGAGAAATAACCTAGGAAACAAGTATGCCAGCGTACAAAAATAGATGATAACGTTTGGAGATTCTATGTATGAAAATGTAGCCTCAATAGCAGAGAATCTGATCTAGCGGATTATCTGAAGAGATAATGCTTACTGGAGAAGAAGCTAGATAGATGCAGAGATCTGCTTCTAATGTCTTTAATTTCTAGGCAAATTTATAAGAGAGAGGGAGAAATAGTCTCCAGGTTTCTGAAATGTTCTCATCTGGGGGTGGAGGCAGTAAGCAGAGCCGGCAGAACGCCAACATTTTGTCTTGATTTCTCCCCCTCTCGTGCACAGCAGGCTGTGCATTGCATGCTCGGAGCAAGAGATCATTACCAGCTCCTCGGGAAGGGCAAGCAGTATGCGCATAGCTGTCCTCCTCCAGCTGATCTAGCAGAAGGACAGCTTTAAATTGCTGCTAGGTCTCTATAAAGCCTCTGCTGATGAAGCCTGCCTGATCCACAGTCTCTGTCCCTAAATAGCTTTGCCTATTTGAAACACCCAGCTAGCTGTCAGAAAGCCACTAGCAGAATAAATCGACTGCGAGGGTCAAGTGGAGATTCAAAATTCTCTGAAACAGAACTGGAAAACTGGTCTATATGTAATCTGGAACTGCATACTATCATGGAATTATGAACCAAAAGTGCCTGTTATTAATCAGTCAAATTACTACTAAGGCTACAGTAAATATTGCAAGGAATTCAGTACCTTACATACAGTTTGTGGGTCATGCTCTATGCCATTTTCAGAAAAGGGATTTAAAGAAAGGTGCAGCTAGAGTGCCGGGCCCTGAAACTGAAGCACACGCTTTTTGCCTTCAGACTGTTCTCGGGGAACACAAAGGAGGCTATGAAGCACGTAGGAGCCATTGGAGCGAAATACAAATGAAGCATTCAAGTGTTATTGCTATGAGAAATTTTCTCAGAAATATATGTTACTGTGGGTCTGCTGAGCAAGCTCTTCCTCCTAATCCACACCACCTGTGTAGATTCATGGATAATTTGGTTCTGACCTAGTTAAAAGTACAAAACATTTTTTCCTATTTGCTTATTCAAAATATCCTGACATCTTCCAGCAAAGCCTGCAGAAAACTCTTTTGTGAGCTGCACTTTGTTCTCCTGCAGGAAGAACATTTGGTGATGTGCTCTGCAGCTCACAGGCCATATGCAGTAGATTGCTGCACTGCTATTCAAAGAGACTTGACTTGGGTTAAAACTGTACATCATTTTTGATTCAAAAGGATCAACAGCAACAGTGTGCCTGACTGGGCATGGTCTGGTCTTGATATCCATTCCCCTGACTAGATGAATTTTTAACTCTAATGACAAAGCTGCTGGATACAGACCTCTAAAAAATGTGGCTGTACAGCTTCATTTCTTTGTATCAGGCAATGAGTGAGGTGAAGATGGGTACGTCAGCCTTTTCAGGGATGTTCTGAAGTCCTGAAGCATGCATCTTAGGAAAATGCAGATTGTAGCCTGTGCCTTTCTCACACTGTTAAAATACTGTTTTCTTTCTTGGCCTGAAGATCAGAGAGAGGGTTTTCCTTTGGGATATTCATCAGTGCCTCTGCAAAGTTTCAGATCCTTCTTTCATTCATTAGTCAACACCTACCATATAATATATATAATACACACACACACATAAAGAGCCTCCAGAAAAAAAACAGCATAGAATCATATATTTGACAAAGCTGGCATCATATGTTGAGCTGTGAATAATGAGATTTAAAATATCTTGTGCTTTTGAAGTACAGTGAAACTTGTTCATTAGATTGCAGTAGCACTCCCTGTCATTTTCTTTATCCTCTTTAAATCACCACCAATGTTTACAAAATGATTTTGTTCTACTTAAAGATCAACTTTGAGGAGGTGACTGATTTCTGCTGATCCTGGAGGTGGTTTCACAGGTTTCATTGTACTTGAAACTTCACAGCTTCCACTGAAGTATTTGATGCATGTATGTATCGGTTTAGCAGAGTACAAAAGTAGAATAATTTTCTTTCTGGCCTCGTATTGTTGACAGAGCATGGTGTCCTCTACCAAATGGTTTATTTTTACTTGACAACTTATCAAAGATTCATTTTCCGAAAGTCCAACCAACGATCTTAAAAATAAGTGTTTGTTTTAAAATACTTAAATGTTTAAAAATAAGTATTTGTTTTAAAAGTCATCAGGACTCCAATACTTGTAATAAATTGTCAAAATTCTATCAGCAAAACTCCTTCAAAAACTTCTATAAAAATCAGATTATTCAGTAGTTGCACAAAAGGCATCTATCTACATTACACTCACTACTATTGGTTAAAAAAAGAAAAAGCTCACCTCACACCTTTCAGCAAAGCATCAGCTGGAATTTACCAGGTGAAGTACATCCAATGGCCCAATCTAACTCTCATGCTGGTCAAAACTGTGAAAATTTGATCTCAGGTCAATGGAGTTATGCCAATACAGAAGTCATGAAAAGACTGCATCAGCTCCCAATGTAAGCCTGATCCCTGCACACTGAACTGGGGCTGGTTAAGGACTGCACAGAGACTTCTGCAGCTTCTGAGGCACCCAAGAACAAACCCACCTAAACAAACAGCAGTGCTCCCTCTGACTTCAAGGGGAGAAGTGTCATGGGGTACTATTACATCAGAGTAGAAGGTAATTAGATTAAAAAGTGTGCATCTTCTCACTAATGTACTGAAATTAGACAAACTACTTTTTGTCAGCAGAACGTTCTCAGCTCTTGGACACAGGAGACTCTCTTATTCCATCGTCATCATCCTCAGAGCAACGCAAGCTTAGTGCACTGGTTACAGGATGGATCCATGATGTTGTCTGGGTCACATGGCTAGAAAAGAACCAAGAAATGCTATTAGGAACCCAGAAGAGGTTTACCAACCTCAGAAACAAGACATACTAGATGGAATCTGC